ATGGTTACCAGGTTCTGGATGCACTAGTTTTTGGAGTATATTTTACCAGATTCTTAAGATGAACAAACTAAGTGAACACAGATGGATAGTTACCAGTTTCCCAAATTCTCCAGCAATTAGCACAGCTTCAGGCCAAAGCAGGTATTGAACAAACATCTCTCTTCATGACATATCAAATGCAGCAGTCACTTTGTCCCAGTGGGCAAAGGAAGACAACAATGAAGCCCAGCTTTTACCTACCACCCTTTTCCTTGGCTCTTTCTCTGGCTTCAATATTCATCTCAAAAGATCCATCAACTATCACCCAGAGTTTTCTCAATGAAAAACAATTCTATCTAGAGCATCTAAAATTGGGTTCAGTGCCCTAAAGACATGCTTAGGAGACAGGCTGGTCACAGTGGGTTGTTTTTACAAGGAAATCAAAGTGGGCCAAGGACACCCAGATAGATCTCTGTATGATCTATAAACCCTTTGTGAAGAATCTCTAGATTGCCCACAGTAAGGATAAATTCATACACACCAGAGACAAGGAAGGATGGGATATAAGGGCCTATCTGTTCAGTGCCAGACCCAAGTATTGAGAGTAAGTTTTATAAATTGGCTTTTTCCTATGTAGTAATATCACACAGTCTATATATTACTCTCATCTATGCAGCTTCTGCCCTGAGATCTTCTTAAGAGTTTTACTGTACATTGGTGACTGTCACATTTTAATAGTGTTGTCTTCTAGTCGATTTCAAATTCTAAATGATCATCTAAGAGGTAAAATAGCCATTTTTGCATGAAGCTATTGCCTCCTGGTGAGGTGGTGGAAGTTGCTGGTAGGTCATCTGAGATGTCACTTCCAAGAAAGATGTCTACAGTTGATGATTTTCAATATTCTTCTGTATTACAGTGTTTTTAGCCAGAATGGGCTCTCTACTTAAGCACAAAGTATTTGGAGTTATAGCTGTTCCTGCACCAGGTCATATCTCAGGTCTCTGACATGAAGCTTTTGAAAGACACTGTGTCCTCTGTGTCTTCTGTCTTTCCTTATGCCATCTAATAAACAGGGCCACCCTATCATTTATGGTCTTAGAATGCTTTTCACCTTTCTCTTAATTGAGACACAGGGTCCAATATTTTAGATGTTAATCAGGACATAGGAAAGGATCCAAATGCCAAGGTACCTCATCTTTCAAAGTTTTGAGGCAGAACATAACCTAATGCCCAAGGTCATAATGCCCAATGGTAGGAGATAAACACACCAAGAGAAAAAGTGGCAAGTGACAAGCAGGGGTATTCCATCTCTCATTTCTATCCTCACCCCATAATATATAATACAGGTATTTAGTATTATGTTGGGAAGGGGCACATATAATTACAAGTAGACTGTAATGCTGAAGGAAATTTCTTGGCTATATATGTCTTGGTCAAAAATAGCATATTCTTGAAACAAGCTTAAGGCTACACAGAAAGTTAATTTCCCAGTAGTGTTAAAAATTTCCAAGTTAGCATAACATATACTAGTCTCTGTCTCCTTTCAAGTTAAGTTAGTTACCCCAAGGAAACACCCAAAATATTCAGGTCTCAGGGAATACTTCTGGACTGGGCTCCTCTGGGGCACAATTCCTTTCATGGAATCATGCCTTAGGGACTGGCATTCACAGTGTATAGAGCTGAAATGCTAGTGTGTGGGCCCACTGGGGAAAAGGGTAGAATCAAAGCTATGCAACTGAAGAAATTTTTAGCACTATTAAGATACAGGAACTGGAGCCCTTTCTAGTTTTATACTTTTCTTGGAATATTCTTCTTCCCCTAATTACCTGAATGGCTGATTTCCTCACTTCCTTTAAGCCCTCCTCCACAATCCTGCCTTTCAAATGAAGTTTCTCTAAAGACCCTGTTTAATTCTGTAATCTGAGTTGACCCCCATCATAGCATTCGAGAAGTCTCCATCTTTACCCTGCTCTAATGTTTTACTTTTTCCACAGCTCATAGAAAAACATAGTTATTTTATTTATTATGTTTACTTGGTATAATTTCACTAAAATTTAAGGCCCTTGAAGGGGAGGGAAATTTATTTTATTCTCTGAGGTAGCCCAAACTCTTAACACAATGCTTGGCAAACAGTGAGAGCTCAGTGTATATTTACTGAATGAATGAGTATGTCTCCTATAGCAAAGATGGTGGAAAGGCAAAAGCCAAAATACATTCAAAGAGAGTTTTAAGAAACACTGAAGTCCCAGAAATGTACATTTACCTGTTGGGGAGAAATATGGTAAATGAAATTGCTTGATGCATATGAATTGCTCGTGAATTCTAGGAAAGAAGAAATGGACATTTTTGTTTCCTAATAGATCTTTTTGTTTTCATTCCCCTTGTTCACAATTTTAATCACTAATATCAAACTAGAACAAAAGTTAATACATGACTTTTATGCTTTCCTGTGGAGAGGCCACAGCTCAGATTTCAGACAAATAAGAATGCCAACCAATGTTAATTTTGTTATTATTTATGCATCTTTTTTTCCACAACCAAGTGGAATCATTAACACATCATTCTGCTTAGCAAACACTAGTTGGTGTGCAGTGAATTTTTCAAGACTCCTATTTCCTGCAAATTCATTATTTGAAAAGGTTTAAAAAAAAATGTCAAGTTCAGTAACATCATCAAACAGCAGAACAAAAAGGCCAGGTTCATCTCTAATGAAATGTTTCAGTCTCTATTTTCTGATGTTAAGGTCCAATCAAGTAAAGATCAATACAAGAATTCATCTTAGGTACTCTATGAATGAATGCTAATCCACATCATTTTGTTGGAAAAAATGATACATATGAATACATGTATATGGTATATACATACTTATCTTGGTGTGTGACTATCATAAGAGTCAGTATGATTAATAAAAAGAACACTGACTTTGAGTCAAATGGACCTCAATTTGAATCTGAACAATACCAATTTATATACCTTTTACTCTCAAAAGTGTCTCTTTGGATGATAAACTCTGTTATTCTAAATAATCTTTATACAATTTCTAATAAAGTTTTTGGCCACCCATAAGTCCTCAATAAAAGGTTGCCATTCTTTAACAAATGTAGATGCAATTCAACTTTCTCGACATCATCAAGAAGGCACCATGCTGACTTCCAACAGAATTGTAATAGTTATTAACAAAGAAAAGAGAAGGAAAAGTGGAGGGATGTCTATACGTCAACAAACTGTTCAAAATGTCTCAAAGAGGTCACTAGCCAATGAAGAAAAAAGCACCAATGTCAAGGTCATTATTAATTAAACCCAGATTCTATTCCTAAACCTTACCATTGAAAACCTGTCTGAATTTTGCCTCCATAGGGAAAAACAAAGATTTCCAATTACTCAGGAGAAAGAAGTTTGTACCCCACTGAATTACTGTAGTATGCCTTACAAGGGAAGGAGGGATTGTCTTCCTGGAGGAAATGAGCACACCTGCAAATACAACAACAAAGGTTGTTGTTCGTGTAGTGCCTCCTACGTGCTGAGCACTGGCACTGACATTTCACTATCTGTCCTGTAGCTTTCCAACACTCAACATAGCTAGTGTGATTAGACATATTTTATTGAAGAGGGAAATGTCATAGAGAAATTGTATAGCTTCTCCAATGACACACAGCTAATAAGAGATGGAGATGCAATTCTAATACAGGTCTATCCAAGTTCAAAAGGGACAGAGCTCCCAGGGTTTATGCTGTTTCCAATCCCATGCTTTGCCTCAAAATTACTGTTTCAAAAGATTGGACACACACTCAGCACAATGAAGGAAAATTCTGTGAGACAATACCTTAATCTGTAAAGGATCATGAACTCCACCTACAGTCTCTGATTTTCAGGTAAGGAATAATAAGAATCTAAGGTGTTATCTTAGTAAAAAAGGAGCAATCAGGATGTTGAATCTACACTGATTTCAATGGTGAAAAGGAGGAAATGAGTGGCTGAGAATCTGACAAGAGAAACTTGGCCCTCTATCTTCCCCCAACACCCAATGTACACATCGTGTCAGGTTTAAGGGATAGCCAGCTCCATCAAGAACACCTCTTGAGTGTCTAACCCACTACCACCCCCATATACCCAGATGTTTTATTTCTACAAGAAGCTTTTGGTTTTGCCTCATTTCATTTTTTTTGCAGGAAAAATGATTCTCATATCTTAGAAATAATAAAAAGTGTCCATCTGAAATAGCTACAGATTTAACAGATCTAGTGCAGGGTAGATGTCCAGCGGGAATTACCACAAATCCATCCCCCACAGACTTTTGAACAACCAGAGCAACATGACTTCCTGTCATTCTCAGACTGCGCCCACTGTGAGCCAACAACAGAAAGGAAAATACACCGGGGGTCTTGCCCAAGAGCTATATAGCTAGAAAAAAATGATCAATATCAGGATGTTAAAATATAGCTACCAATCTATGGTAGCCCTTTGCCCAACATTCTCTGGCTCCCAGGAGATTCTGGAAGAGAAATGCTACAGGGTGGCAGTTAGACTTGGAGATAGAACTGCATTAGAAATGGGGTGCTGCCCTTCATTAGCTGTGTAACCTCAGGGATTATTTAATCTCTCTGGGTAGTAATGTCCTCACTTACAAAATGAGGATACTATGAATGGTTTCTTAGGTTGTTAAAAGTACTAGGTATAACATTTTGGGTCATGATAACTAATGTTATTGAGCATTTATTATGGGCCAGGTATAAATGAAATAAGTACAGCTAGTAGATGCATAAAGTAAGACACCTAAATTAAGTCACTTGCCAAAATTCACGTAATTAGAAACTCATAGAAAAAGGATTAGAGCCTATGGGATCAATACCAAAGCCCATGCTCTCAACCCAGGGTGCTATCTTGCCCAGTATGAAACTCTGCACCGAGTAAAGACTCAACAAGTACGAGTCACGGCTACTGTTGGCATTGCTATATGCCTACATCACATAAAATGAGGCTCTACATAGCACTAAATGCTCACACCATGGAACACACAGTACCTGGGACATGGCTGTAAAAGTTCCCCTTCGACGATGCAGGCCTCTTTTTCCAGAAGCTCAGGGCACTCCTTTCCGCCTCCAATAGTAACATGCTTCACACTCCGCCTCCTGATCCGAAATCCTGGTGAGAGTCTCCCTGAGTGACACGTCTTGGAGCAGGGGCTCCAGGAGGACCACTTGGTGGTCTCACAGTCTTTCGGCATGATGCAGGACTGCACAGTCAGAGGGAAGGAGTCTTGTGTGCAAAGGCTAAAGAAACCCAAGCAGAAACCAAAGATTAGGTAGGCCACAGATTAAATGGATGCAACCAACATGATGCAGTGCCTAGAATAAAAAATAAATAAATAAAAATTTGAACCTAGTTTAAGTACCCAAATTTGAGGATTTACCAAAAAAGGTTAGCAGCATCATGATAAAATATTGAAGGATGTGCATTTAAAAAAAATCTATGTCCTGTTTCGTCTGAAACTGTGAACTTATTTCACTCTAGCAAGACACATGTAAGGTCAGTATACTTTATAAAGGAGGCTCTTCCATGCTTTCACCTATGATACAGCCCACAATGACCATTTACTGATTGGTCCCTACGTGTCATGCCATGTGCTGCATCTCACAGGCACTTTCTCATCACAATCCCAGGAGTTTACCTGCTTTTATCTCCATTTGCAGATGAGAAAATCTCAGCTCGGGAAGGCTAAATCATTTAGGTCCAACAAAGGTAAATATAAGCTTTAAAGTATTCATCTATCCATTCTTTTAAATCCTGGGCTATTGAAAAATAAATAAATGTGATATTATGTTTCCACACACTGTTAGGCTCTGAGCAACAATGTCCTCATCTGCAAAATTCAGGTGCTATCAAATACTGACAATCTAATTGGGAAACAGATCAAGGCATAAAAAGATAAAATAATATGATATTGTGATTAACACAACATGAAAGTATTTACGATGAGGACAAACACTGATAAGGTAGCGATGGACCACCTGGGAAGGCAGGCATGGAGGTGGGGGGTTCTATGAGAGAACATCGGAGCTGTATTTTAAAAGATTAAAGTATAGAAAGAGTATTTTAAGAAAACAGCATATTTGAAAACTTGATATAACATTTTGTGGAGATGGGAACCAGTAGTATACTACAGTTGGATAAACTGTTTCAAAAGAACCAACTGTTAAATGTTCAGGAATTTTGCAAGCCAGTTGACTTCATGTAAGTCACTTAAACTGGCCATGGTGGGAGTATTTATACTACTGATATCAGCAAATGCTACAAATCAAGCCCCTGACCCCTGACCACTGAAGACTGGTACTTAAACATTTACAAGCATGCCACTGGGGGAAAGTGAAAGCCAATTTGTCAATTGTCATAAATTTTTCAAGTTATGAAGCATAAAGTGAAAAGAGGAAAGTGGAAAGTGGATAGATATTAGGAATGTGGGTTGTTCAAAAACAGGTCTGGAAAGGCTTTGTATCAAGGACTAAGGAATTTGGATTTAACTGAGCATTAAATAATTTTAAGAGGAGGAAATTCAGTTAGGCTCACATAGGAAGATATTAATTGACAATCTTTTCCTTTTTTCTACTTTCTTTGTGTTAGCCTTTCCCTTATTCAATCAAAGGTAGTCATTACTTTGGGGGAAGAAAAGGATAATTTTGACAGGAATATAAATCAAAGAAAGAATCAATGCTCAAATACTGACTTTCAAAAATTGGGCCTATGGAATCTTGTGGAATAATGAGCTCTAGAAAAGATTTGGTAACAGTTCCTCTGTATGTGTCTAAAAAGACAGAGAAGTATTAAAATATTTCCAAGTTTCTGACTTGTGAAAATATGTAGACAAGGGAGAAATGGATTGTAGCAGGAGGTGTGCAGGGAGAATAAAGCATGCTCATATTTGGCCATATTGGTGAGTAAATTACAGTGATATTTCCATATTGATATCCTTCATGAAGCCATGGAAAGTTAGCATGGCTTTCAAAACTCACAATGATATGAGATACACTTTTGGTCCAATATTTTATTTTTGGTCTATTCAGATATTATTCCTTTCAAAATGAAAAAGGCAACATGTACTTTATTACCACTAGTCACTTCAGTGTGACATTCTGGGACTTGGGATCAAGACACACTAGGAAAAACCCCTCTTGAAAGTGTCCCCCCAACATAGAATGTACTACCACTGTGCCATATGGAGCTAATGGGAGGGGGGCACCTCTTCTTGTTGTAGTACACAGCTGGAAACTGTTCACCAACAAGGAGTTTCTAGGTTTGGGCTTTCAGAAATTTGTTATCGGCTGAGTTGTGAGCCCCCCCAAATTGGTATGTTGAAGTCCTAGTCCCCAGTACCTCAGAATGTACCTCAGAATGTATTTTGTTAAAGCACCCTGAACAAGCTGATACAGAAATCTAATAAAGTTCTTCAATTTGTGTATGTTTTTAGAAAGAGTTACAATTTCCAAGATGGACTTCTTTCTTTCATAAAGAAGGTTCCATACTATGCAATTCTCTATCTACCGTTGAAATGGTGTTTTGTTTCTTCCCATTTACCATTTTCATTCTCTGTTGCTCATTGTCCCTGAACTGACTTCCCCTATTAGAGCAGTAGAAGAAGGTCTAACAATACAAGTGGAGTTGCAGGGATTAATCAAGGGTTCTTGTGTTTTTGAAAGGGCTCCTCATCCTTTTGCTTAGAAAGGGGATGTGTTCCACTGATCACATATTTACTTATTTTTAATGTTATTTTCACTAATCTGCCTTATTGGTTATATAAAGTGATAATCATCATAAATCACAGGGCCCTGGTCTAACTTGATCGGTGAGATTTCATTTTACAGGAATATTAGGATACTAAATGGTGCATCAGAATGTCTGGGTCCTGAATTTTGCATCACAATACATTAGCATGACCCGAGTCTCTTGGCTGTTTAGTTTCATTGCTGCAGGAAAAAAAAAAAGAATAAAATGTGATCAGCTCACGCCCAGAGTTGTGGTGGCTTTTAGTATAAGTAGAATCTACTTGTAAACTAAAGTCCATAACAAAGATTCTGTCTATACCCAGAAATGAGAATTGATCTTTCTAGAGAAGGTCATGTGCCTTTGAAAGATTGAAAGCTCTTTGATTATAGGTGGGGCTCATCAAATAGTAAGCATTACTGCTGACTGATTGTTCAGAACTCAGACCATTTTATCGGGAACCCTCAAATGTTGGTTTACATTGGCCTTTACTCTTTAGCTCACCTTTTTTCCAAGATAGGAATCCTCCCATCTCTGGTGGCATGTGGATAGCACTGGCTGTTAGCTTTGTGAGAGCTGATCAGAGAAAGAAAGCTGCCAGGGCACTCTCACAAAGTATGTATGGATTTTCACTGAACCTGCATTTTCACAGGATGATGCTTCACACTTACACTATGTTCTGTAGGTAAGGGAATAAATTTAAGGCACATTAAACACATTCGTCCTCAGAGTTATTTACTGCCTATGATTCTTAAGCCTTCCGAGAATCTTGAGTTACAATAGAATAGGCTACACTGTAGGAACACATAAGCCTCAAGTCTCAATGGTTTAACAAGATAAGTGTGCATTTTCCTTTCACATACAGTTTGATGCTGGTTATTCACCTCTCGTAGAAGGTACTCCTCTACCTGAAGACTTAAGGATCCGGTTTGTACCTGTCTTCTAGATTCACCATCTAGAATATGTGACCTTCAAGTTCACCTTTAGAAAAGAAAGCAGGAGGATGGCCCAAAGTGATTTATGATTTTAGTCTAGAAGTGGCTTACATTACAACTGTCCACGTTTCATTGGTCAGCTCTCAGTCAAATGCATCCAATATAACTGCAAGGAAGACAGTGAAATATCTTTCTGTGTGCTGTGGAGGGACAAAAATGTGATAAACCATAGCTTTGTGCCTGTTACAGCTGTGCCATGTAAACTGATTTGCTTCTTGCAGATCTTTCAACTGCTAAGTAAATTACCACTCATCCATCTGCTTCCCAGGACCCAAATCTGGTGGCATTTCTTTTTAGCTGTTATATCCTTTCCTATTATATCTGTCCTTGAGAGTTTATCAATTTTTAAATGTCTTTACTGTTATTTAAGTGGGGCTTCAAAATATAGCAGTAATGAATGGTTAGGTTTAGTTTGCCCTATTTAACCTGAAAAGATAGTTGACAAAAAAAAAAAAATCTTTGCTAAAGTCACATAATAATCTATTCTATAGATTAACAAATCCCTAAAGCACAGACTGTACCTTTCAGATGGAAAAAAAAAAATACTAGCTAAAGGAAATTAAGAATGTATGAGTAAAGTATTAAATTCTGAAAGTATTTTCATTTCTATTAATCTTATTTTAAATTACATAATATTTGTTTACAGAATTTCATACTTCCAATATAGATTTTACAGTTTGAAAAGCTATTTTTATAGAAGTGAAAGTGCAACTAACTAAGAAAGTACTTTAGAAACCTTAAGAAAACAGTGGGCCATCCAAAAGCACAGTTATTCCAATTATTAGCAAAACACTGCTATCCATATGGTAGCAATTTACACAAATTATAGCATAATAACAAAGGAATAGTTGGTTCTGGAGCTTACAAATTGTAATTTAGAGAATGATTGCAAGATGAAATCATGAAAATAACACCAGGGAATAAAATGTGAATGGAGAAATAAAGAGAAATGAACCAGAACTGAGACAGGCTTAAAAAGAATAGGTTTGAGAAAATAGACGAAATATATGCTATTTTTTTAAATGATTTTGATTCCAAACAGGTAGCATCTTTCTGCCATCAGTCAAATGAATAGGAATAGTTTTTTTAAAAAAATAAATAAGAATAACCTGAAAAAGAAATAAATGCACATACCAAGATTTATGTGAAATATCTGGCTGCTTTAGAAACTAAACTAAAAGTGAGCTGCCTATTAAAGATAAGATTCAGCAGGTAAAGACATCCGAATAAGAAAAATTTTTAAACATTGTCTGGCAGACTACTTTGAAAATGTTTAAGAAATAATTTTAAATTACTGAAAAAAATATTAAGGATTACTGAGAAATTTTAGCTGGAAGATTATGAGATTCCTTTTCTCTCTAACCTCCTTGATTAGACAAATTAACCTGAGGTAATTTATGTCTTGTGTAACAAAAATAATGTTTGTGTTAGATTAGAATTTATACATAAAGGGGACCACTGCTTGAGATATATAACCTTTTTCTTTAATCCTCAATAACATAAAACTGAGATATTAAAAT